ATACCTTTTTGTGTGTGACCAGAGAGCACCCATCGGCAGACGCCAGAGATGATATCCCATACGCGCACGGTATGGTCATAGCTTCCAGAGACAAGAGTCCTACCACGAGCAGCCAGTGCCCGTACTGCGCTTCCGTGACCAGATAATAAACGAAGATGATAAGGATTATGATCTGCAACCTACAATTCAAAACTTGTTAATACACACTTCTCCATTCAATCCACAAAAGGAAAGCGTACCTCGACGTGATCGGGGCCCTCTTCTTCCTGCATGAAGAAGAATGGCGGCTCGTGCGCCTTGGGGAGTTTCCACACCCTTAATGTATGGTCTCTGCTACCAGTGACAATAAGGGTACGCTTCGGCCACCTTTCCTTACGGAAAACCCCTTCTTCGGTCTCCATGTCCAACATTTCCGGTTTCACAATGGCGAGACACCTGACCGTACTCTTGTGTCCTCCAAAGACATGGGTGCACCGACCTCGCTCGAGATCCCATATCCTGACGGTACGGTCCGTCGAGCCACTGACGAGCGTATTCTTCGAAGCCGCCAAGGCCCAGACACCACCGCCATGGCCCTCCAGGGACTTGACGAGCTGACCGGTCAAAGGGTTGTACACATGAATGGAGTGATCATCTGATGCAGATATGATACGTCCATGGGAAAACAAGAGACAAGTGACGACCGACGAGCCGTGGGCGGCAAAGGAGACACGCTTGGGGTTTTGATTCGACGCCCATTGAGTGCGGGTGAGTTGACGGGACTTGTAGAGTACTTTGAACGGATGAGGAAGGTCCAGCGACGGATGAATATGGTTGGCCGCTCTCCTATTCATTAGCGTCCTTGCAAAGGCGCGTTCGGGGCCACCGCCAAACCAACTCCCAGTGGTCCTGAGCAGTTCCCGCCATAGAATTGGGTCAGAATCGATAATGGCTCGCCACGATTTGGAAACACGGGTACAACGTGCCAAGGTTTTCCCGGGAAGGAAACTGAGAATGATCGAGACGAGCTCAGCCGGGAGCTGAGTTAGGAAGTCCCGTGAAAGAGTGGGTGCCAAAACTGAGTTTACATTTCGAAGGACCTGGAGGGGAGATTGGCGAAGTAAAGTGAGGATAACGTGAGTTTGTAAGTTAGGCGGCAGGGCCGTAAAATGGGTAAGCAGAGTGGGGAGTGTCATCAGGGTCGTTAGCTGCACATCTGGTTGTAGCGGTCCGGCGGGGTGACCGGCACTCTTATTTTCCACAGGAGTCGGTAGGGGAGGTGGGTGGCTAGTCAAAAAAGAAGGAGCAGGTGAGCCAGTTGGAGACGGTAGAGGTGAAGGAGGTGCAGCGGCACTGGTCGTGGAGCCTGATGGCCCACGCATACCCATTTCCGTATGGGCTCGTAGACTTGCGCGGGGCCTTGGACGATGAACGTCCATTTCGACGCCGTCCATTGCGTCCATACTCGCGAATCCACGCTTTCTCTGATTGAAACGTTCAATAGCGGTAGCGATGTCGACTTGCTGACCCTCTGGAATCTCATCCTTTCTCAACATTTTCCATCCGTTCCCCGAAACAATCTCCTCCTCTTGCTCCTCTGCGTGATATCTCGGTTCACTGTCCGTCGAGCCGTACGGAGCGAGGGGTGGACCATTCTTGAAAGTGGCTTGAGCGCCATCTGGAAAGACGATGTTGAATTCGGAGAGAGATTTTGGAAAACGCGCATAGAGAAGCGGGTATTGCTTTGGATCTGTTGGAACGGGAGGAGTAGGCAATGGCGGGAGCGAAATTGGGGCATAAGACGTGGTCGTCACCGTGGTCGTCGTCACACTGGATCACAAATCAGCAAACTACACACTTTTGACGCTCTCAAGGTTATACTAACACTTCTGTGCGCACAGACGGGGCGAGAATGAGCGATGGCCCAGTACCCGAAGAAGTAGACGACATGGCCGAGTCCAAGAGGTAAGGACAGAGCTTGGAATCCGCCACGCCCATCTCAGCCATGGCTCGCAAAAGTGTGTATTGACTTTTATTAACCTACGAAGAAGCGTTATGCAGCTGTTATGCAGCGCGTTCGCGTCATTGCTCACGTTTGCGAGAGAGAATGGCTCAGAGACTAGGTAACGTGCAGCCCATAATCGCATGACTCGCACAATGAAACCAGTTCATTACATGGCGTTTTTATGCACTCTTGGTTGATCCGAGACACATGGAGTGCAACCTTCACTGACGAGTGGGTTGCGGCCATAATCTACATCACCGCAAAACGCCTTGTTTCGACGCT